AAAAAAAAAAAAAAAAAAAAACCCGAAGAAAGAAAGAAACGCGTGTGCGTGCGACCGCACGGCGACAGGGCGGTCGCGTTAGCGCTGCGTTAACGCGTGCCTCTGGGGGGGGGCGATGTCTGGGCAATGCGGGCGTTGGTGTCGCCACAACGAAGGCGGCGCTGTGCCAGAACTTGTTGGTGGGGTGGCGGCGCGTGGAGGAAGGCGCGAGGGCGCTACGGGGGACACGTGCAGAGGGGCACTGCCATGCTCCTGCCATGGGCCAGTCCCGGCTGACAGGGGTCAGTAATCCTGGTTGACTGTGGAGGGATAGGAGAGTGATGTGGGGACAGTCAGCGGGCTGGATCTGGACGTCGCTGTTATACCAGAATTATCAACCAATCAGGGGCGTAGTCCCCTGGTTTCAGATACGGAACCCAAGAGTTGGGAGATGATTTCGACCAAGCTTGGTGATGCTGATGAAGTGCTTGGTGTATGCCTGATCTACGGTGGAATGGAAGGTTGGGGTGTTTGGCATCAACATTTGGGGTGTTGTGCCTGTGTTGGGGACGGGTCGACTGATTACGCTCCCCCCTTGCTATTGGCGCGTTGGTGCGGCTGGATGAGATGTTTTGGCCCGCTTTTTGGAGTTGAGTAGAATTGCACGTGAGCCCACAGGTTGGTGACCCTGTTTTAGTTATGTCGTCGGCGATCTGTTCATCAGTGGAAGGATTTGGATTGCAACAGCCGGCTTCACACGGTTTTGTCGTTGTTTGTGTTTCTAGCTAACTAGGTGTATAGCCTCTACTTCTGGGCTTAGCTAGACGTATTGTAATTTGGGTTGCTTTTTTGCCGCCCGTTGAATTGTAGATACATAAGTATGGAGCTGGTGGCGGTCATGGAAATTTAGGGGATACTAATCAGAAAACTGGGAAGGAAAGTTAGTTTGGTTTTAATTGGTTTTATATGCGGGGTTAGTTTAGTCTAGACACATGGTGATTGTGGAGTAATTAGGGGATATTAATTAGAACACAGGGGAATAGTAATTAGATAAAAATGAAAATAGAGATATTATTTCAGTACGGCCTAGTATGGGAATCGTAATTACATTTGTCTAATTAGCGTATTAGGCTTGGTAATTAATTAGGGAATTGTAATTATTGGCGTATTAGGATTAATGAGTAATTAGGAGAAACTAAGTTTGGTAGTGCTAGATTCATTTTTTTTCTGGATTGCATCAACTTTCAAATGACTAGTTAGTGGTAGCTAGGGTTTGAACAACGGTGCCTGATTTTTTGGCTGCAGTCGGGGATGGGATTGGTCGGGAGTGCTTTTCCCAGCCCTGTATGGCTGCGGTTTATATGTAAGGGACGCCAGACCCGTTTTCTGTCATATAATGGCATGAGGTCTTTCTTCTGGTAAAAAAAAAGGAGATATCAT